TTATTCAAGTCAAGATTAAAGTTCTACAACGACAATCACGAAGACTTGAAGTGCCATTCCTTGAAGTATTCAAGAGGGTGCACAGGATTTTGTTGAAGTCCGAGACGCGTTCGGAGCGCCTAACGGAGGACTCGGAGGAGTAGAAGATTTCCGAAGACTTTTTATTTGTTTGAGTCTTAGGATTTATTGTAAGGATGACAAAAATCTTCTCTCCAAAATTATTTTTATGAGAGTAAAAATAAAAATTATATTTATTTTTGGAGTCAGTTGAAAAATCTTTTTAANATTCATCCAATTTGCTTTCAATCGCAACTGGCTTGGGCCCTTTGTGTTTGTGAATCATTTCGCATCTAATCGATTAAGTTTCTCACCTTAATCGATTTTACCCAGTTAATCGATTAATTTCTCTTGATTAATCGATTAATCTAGTTTTGCCTTGCGAAGGATTGTTCTGGTCCTTGGTCTAATCGATTTTCCTCCTGCCTTTAATCGATTAGTTCACACAGAGCATTCTAATCGATTAATCCCTTTGCATTAATCGATTATTTCCGCGTAGAAGGAACTTTGCGCAGACTGCATTAATCGATTATTGACACTGCATTAATCGATTATTATGCTGCATTTTTCATCCCAGCTTCTTTTCTTGGAACAACGGATTTATTCCTTCAACCCCTTTATAAACCTCACTCCTTGGTCATTTTATGAATGAACAAGCACTCCTAAAATCCCCCAATCTTGAGGTTATAATCCTCCATTCATTTCTTCCTCAAATTGATATATTTTGATAGAAAACTAAATGTTTTCAAGAGAGTGTTCTTGTCATCCATAGAGCTTAATCTTTTCTCATTTCTACTCTTGTGAGAGTTATTGCTGAGAGGTTGAAGAAGACTGTTCTTCTTGTTGTTCAAGACTTATGTGACTTAAGTCTTGGTTGTGAAGTCTTGTAGAGGGTACATCTACGAGCGGTTGTGTTGAGGCTTGTGAGATTCAAGTTCTCGGTTTGTAAACGGTTTGTCAAGCACCCGTTGAAGCTTGATAAGTAGTGGTAGCTTTGAGAGAGTCTCTCGGGGAACTGGACTAGCCACGAGGTGGTGAACCAGTATACATTGGTGTGTTCTTTGCCTTCTATCTTTTATTTCCGCTGCACTTACGTTTATTTTATTTATCCTGCGAAAATCGGTAATCATTCTCAACAACTCTATTCACCCCCCCTCTAGAGTTGCACGCCTTGTCTAACAAACAGGATATCCTATCTCTTGCCTTGCACATCTTTTTCCAATACCAAGAGCAATCAGGTCTAGGTTGGTAGGCCCAACAATTAGAATCCTTTGTATACCTGGTATGCATCCTCATTACACAAAGAAACATACTTTTTAGAAGCTACATCTCAAATCAGCCCCATGATAGAGGTAGTGTTCCGATTGTTAGATTTAATCGGGTCTGTTCACATATTACATATAACCGAATGGGTAATAAGTCAATGTTCGGGTCAGTTAGTATGGTGTCTGTTAGTGTGTTTTAAATATTTAATTAATTCAAAAAAAAACGGTTGGGTAGTTTCTAAAAACAGTTATGGGTAGTTTCTAATGTTAATAGTTGTGTTGGTTAGTAAATGTTGTGTTGGTTTATTCTCTATTTATATTTAGAGAACACAATGAATCCTGTAACAGTTCACAACAATAAAATATTCTACTTTGCTTTGATCTGGTCCTGTCTAACAATTGGTATCGGAGCGGAGTGGCTGACAGATCATAATACAAAGTGTTAGAGACTTTCTCGACAACTAATCAAGAATCTTTGACAAGATTCTTCCTCGCCTAGGACAAAAATTGCATGTGGCTAGTTTTTTTCCTTTGGCAGAAGCATTCCAACCAAACAATGCGGGAAAAATGAATCAGTGGGGTAGCTTTCGTTTAGTGGCTTGGAAGACAAAAGTGGGGGCTTGTCTTTTGGTTGATGGTCAATTGCGACCCAGGAAGGAATCAAAGTCTAAGAATTTTGAGAAAATTGGCAAAGGAATTAAAGTCGTGCAATGGAAGACAACAGACAGATTATGACTACAAGGGAAAATAGTTCACTATCTTTTAAGGTTCCAATTCTAACTGCTACAAACTACACAATTTTGGCCGTGAAGATCAAAGCAATTTTTAATGTTAATGGGATTTGAGAGGTGATCGAACCAGGAACAAAAATCGATCCAAAGAACAATTTGGCAATAGCATATCTGTTTCAAGCTTTGCCGGAAGAGATCGTGTTACAAGTTGCTCAATTTACTGAAGTGGAAAGAAATCTGGGATGCTCTGAAGACTCGCTTCGTTGGTGTTGACAGGGTTAAAGCGACGCGATTACTCACACTCGAATCAAATTTTGAGACTCTAAAGATGAAGAACAATGAGTCACTTGATGATTTTGCTGGTAAAATTAGTCAACTTGCAACACAAGCAAGCAACCTTGGGTCTGCATTTGAAGACAAAATATTGGTTTGAAAGATTTTATGTTTTGTGCCAGAAAAATTCATATAGATCATTGCTGCAATAGGACAGTTTGCCGACATTAACACAATGTAGTTTCAAGAAGCGGTTGGAAGATTGAAAGCATTCGAGGAACGCATCAAAAAGCCAACCGAGGAAGGAGATACACATGGTAAACTACGGTAATTCACTAAAGTTGATGGGAAAGAAAAGGTTAAGGAGCACAAAAGTGAGCATTGTGGTTGCGGGAGCTCAAACCGAGAAGACTTTGGATGTGGCCGATGTAGAGGTCAGGGATCCGAGAAAGGTCAGGATGGTGGTCGGTTTCAGCGGGGAAAGAGTCACATTAAGTGTTTCAAGTGCAATGAGCTAGGGCATTTTCTGAACGAATGTCTAAAATGGGATCAAAAGGAACACGTTGCAAATTTGATTGAAGATGGTGATGAACCACCGTTGCTGTGAAGATTAGTGTGAACAAACAATGATTAGGGGCGTGATTGTTAGATTTAATCAGGTTTGTTCACATATTACATATAACTGAATGGGTAATAAGTCAATGTTCGGGTCAGTTAGTATGGTGTCTGTTAGTGTGTTTTAAATGTTTAATTAATTTTAAAAAAAGTTGGATAGTTTCTAAAAGTAGTTATGGGTAGTTTATAATGTTAATAGTTGTGTTGGTTAGTAAAAGTTGTGTTGGTTTATTCTCTATTTATATTTAGAGAACACAATGAATCCTGTTACAGTTCACAACAATAAAATATTCTACTTTGCTTTGATCTCGTCTTGTCTAACACCAATTAGTCACGTCTTTCATCAAAAAACCCCTTGTGTTTAGGAAGACTGTTAGAATATAAATAACTCATTCTGGGCCACAACCACAAGCTTGAGCTTTTGGTTGAATTGGTTCCTTGACATGGTATCGGAGCCTTGATGACCAAGAGGTCACGAGTTCGAAACTCACCGCCACCCAGTTTAAAAAAAAAAATTAAGGTTTCACGTGCAAGGCTCAAAAAAGGTCACGCCTGCACGTGAGGGGGCGTGTTAGAGTATATAACAATCATTCCTGGGCCACAACCACAAGCTTGAGCTTTTGGTTGAGCTTTTGGTTAAGGTTTCACGTGCAAAGGGGAGTGTTAAGAGTATCCCACATCGGAAAAGTGTGAGGAAAATAATCGGGATATAAGCTCTTGAGTTGAACTAACTAATCGATTGGATTCAATCTTTTAATGTGGTTCAACCCAAGTGTCTTATTGCCCAAACCAGCTGTCCATACCCAATTCTAAATTCTATCATGGTATCAGAGCACGTTCTGGCCCACCTCGTTTGTCATGGTGTCCGTCTACACGTTCATTCCTAGCGGCTCGTTAGTCTTTAGCTCAGTTGTCTGTATGGAGTATGTACCCAACAGCCTGTGGCCCGTTTAACCCGATTGCACGTCTGGAAGTCCATACCCAGCCGCTCGTGGTCCTTTAGGTGTTGGCGCTCAAAAAAAAATCAAGGGGATGGGAGTCCATTTGCAAGTGGTCAACCGGTTAGATTCAAAATGGCTCGGTTGTCCACTTGAGGGGGAGTGTTAAAGTGTATCCCACATCGGAAGTTCAAGAGTAAAAATGATCGGTATATAAGCTCTTGAGTTAAACTAACTAATCGATTGAATTCAATCTTTTAATGTAGTTCAACTCAAGTGTCTTATTACCCAATCCAGTTATTTCTACCCAATTCTAAATTCTATCAAAGACAGATCTCATCCCATCTAACAAGTGACCTTCTGTTATATTCCCTCCATTTCGAAATAAACTTCCCAATTTCCTTTTTGGGTTGTCCCAGAATAAACTTCTCATTCCATAAAAGGAATTGGATTAGTGGTCCAAACAATTTCAACCATAATTTCACTTTTTTCTTAGACTCAATGAAAAAGCAAATTGGAAGTATAATTTGGTACGGAGGGAGAAATTCACAGTACACCTCCACAAGAAATTTCTACCCAGCCACTCTGCGCCAACACCACCCTTACCCAATTACCCCGCCACCCTGCGTCGGCCGCCCTCATGCTCTTAAAATATTTTTAAAGTGTCTTAAAATGTGATGGGAAAATAATTTACTGGAAAATACTTTCCCCCAACCAAACGGATCCTTTATATATACTTCCAATTACTCGGCTATTTGTGACAAAACAAGTTCAGCGCAACAACCTACAAACTTTATGTATGATCATTTTACATTCCAATGCTTTGTTACTTGTAGAAAAACTAAATGAGCAATTGAAATGGACCTTGTTAAAACTCTATAGATTGATTCTAGATACTCCATTTGTCCATAAATAAAGTTCCCGTTGCGCGTTACGATGTTTGACTGAAATTATTTTCAAAATATTGTATGTGAAAAATGGTATGGAATTAAAAAATAAAAATTACATATTTAAAAACTACATGAAAAGATCTACAAAACTAGAGATGACATGACTATATTATTTTATCAAACAGGAGACGAAAATAGGCCAACAAAGTGAATAAAGTTTGAGCATGTGAATAATGAACGAGATCTTTATTTGTTGGACGGAGGGAGTATTTTATCAAACTCATTTTCTTTATAAATTTAAATTAATATTGCATAGACTCACAATGTTAATGGAGCCAAAATAGTCATTATTGAAGTTTCTATGAAGTTTTAGATAGTTAATGTAGCAATGGATCAAGTTCTAACAAAAACCTCTCTATATTTCACAAGGGTAAGGTTGCATTCAACTTGACTCCCTCCCCCAGGCTTCAAAGCAGTTGCGATTACACCGGTTTTGGCTGTTGTATATGAGAGACTAAGGAATGATAAAAAAATTTAAAAACAGTCAGATTTGATATTTTCTTATTTTTCAAGGTATGACCAAACATTAAAAATACTACTCCCTCTATCCCAAAATAAATTTGATGCTTTCCTTTTCCATCCGTTCAAAAATGAACTTCACAATTTCTTTATTTCCTTCTAAATAATAGAGTGTGGCTCACTCAAAATTTCATTTTGGGACGGAGTGAGTAATTTCTTTGTATTTTTTCCTTCCCACGATTTTCCATGTTCCAAACACAGCTTGTGGGTTTATAGCTTCACGTAACCGGCCCCAAAATACATGAGATTAGGCTAATGATACTGCTGTTAGATACACATTTAGCTAGGCCAAAGGGCTTAATCAAGTGTAACATACCTTTCCATAGAAGAGTGACTTGAGTGTGTAGGAGGTGAAGCCTTAGAGATTTTCCTTATGAGGTGCATTGACCCTTCAACATCCCAAACTTCCTCATACTCACAAAAATCATCGTCAATTTTTTCTTTCACCCCTTCAAATATGCTCGAACTAATTAGACTTCTCATGCATTGATGCAGCAAAGGAAATCCATTTGTGGGCCAGAAGAGGACAAGAACTGTCAAGATTAACATCAGAAGATACCTGGAAAATGTGTATGATCAGTGTATAGCCACTTTAAGTGTGAGCCACAAACTTTTTCTATACATATAAATCACCATATATAAATGTGTGTTTGAGCAGGGAGAAAGCAGACTCTAGTGGAGACGGCATCTGCGGGTTGAGATCCATCTGATAAGGTAAGATTACTAGCAGATAACAACATAAAAGAGGGAAACAGATTTCCTTGCTGCCAACTTATAGTCCCTAAAGAGTGCTGCAAAAAGATATCCATCAAACATTGCAATTATTGATCAAAACTAAATTGCTAAATTAAAAAGTACTACCTCTTTTACAGCACCATGCTTCGTTGTGTGTACTATTGTACATTGATCATGGTCATGCCCAGAAAGGATTAATACCTACAAAAACTTAAATTAGTTTTTTTTAAAAATGGAGACAATCATTTGAGAGGTTCCTGTCTATCTTCTTTTTCTGTTTCAAGACAGACATCATGGGATGAAGTCATGAAGATAATATACATACAGGTTTGATCAACTCCAGCAAGTGATTTGTATGTTCTTCAGTCACATAGTTTTGGTACCTGAGAAAAAGATTGTAACCAAAAGACAAGTTTAAATTTCAGTACTAGTGTGCACAAAGTGGGGAATGCACATAAACTCATGAAAGGAACTCACAATATCTCCTTATCATGGTCATCACGGTTAATCCTCTGAAATGGAAAGAGAACAATATGCACTTCAGAAAAAACATATTTAGGATACAATCATAAGCAGAGAAGAGATTAGACCTACCTGATTAATAAATGGTGATGCACGATAAGGACCACATGAAGTCCAATCTGGTCTATAAAGTGGGATATGAGTTAACAGAACACTAGGCCTTGAAGTAATATCTACATAGTATCAGACAGAAAATAGGAATCTAATATTTATTTGAAAATGAACATTATCTTGAAAAAAAAGATAAGAACAAACAGGTCTCATACTCTTGGAGACTTCTTTAACAAAATTCCATGTGGTAGCAGTCTCTATTCCTTGGGGCTTCCCTGGGGAAATAATGTTTTCCCATCAGCATCTTTATGGAACTTCATAAGTAATAACTGTCCAACAAATCAATGCGAAATAATTCCACATTTTCGGGGATGAGACAGTTTACAAGTGATTATTGTACAAATCAAACACTAATTAGACAGATTTAGTTTCATAAATGAGACTGCAAAATACAAACAGGTGTTACAAGTTCCCCTCAGTGTGATTACAGTATAGAATTACATATTACTCCGGAGAAAGTAAAGAACTGGCTTGCAGACCTAGCCTATGTCGCCTCTGTTAAAGTAACCCACATCATCCCACATCCGAGGTTTGAAGAGAATGTAATGAGTATATAAGCTCTTGAGTTGAATTGGGTAATCAATATGATTCAATCTTTTAATGTGGTTCAACCTAAGGGAGATGTATTCAATCCAGATTTTAAAAGATTCTGATAGATTGTTTAGAATCCATGGATTATGTAAAATCAATGGATTGAATACACCCCCTAAGCGTCTTATGACTCAATCCAGTAATCTTCATCTCATCTTAAATTCTATCATGGTATCAAAGTAGGTTTTTGCCCAACTCATTTGATAAGGTGTGTCTAGAAGTTCATTTCTAGCAGCCCGTTAGTCTTCAGCCCAGTTGTCCGTATGGAAAACAATATGTGGTTCATTCTGGAAGTCCATATCCATCATATCATGGTCCTTTAGGTGTTGGCACTTTCNTGTCCATTTGAAAGTGGTCATCCAGTTTGATTCAAAAGTTAAAGTATCCCACATCAGAGGTTTGAAGAGAGAGTGATGGGTATATACGCTCTTGAGTTGAACTAGGAAATCGATTGGATTCAATCTTAAATGTGGTTTAGCCCAGTGGCTTATGGTAACCTTTATCCCATCTTACATTCTATCAACCTGCAATGTGAGGAAATCTCACACAGTGATCTTGAGCTGAAGAAGAAAGTTACCGTCCAATGTTTGCGCATCAACAGCAATAAAGTTTACTGCTCCAATTGTGAAATGGTAATTCCTCACACCAAATACTTTCTCATAGCGTCTGATAACCTGAATGCATATAAACAAAAATACGCACTTGTGAAAAGATGAGAAACTGTCAAATGACAAAGTGTAACTACCGACAGAAGAATGCATTCAAAAATAAAAGCCAAACACTAATAAAATTTAAAAGGAAAAGAACATATGCCAAACAATAAAATAATGTAAGCTTATGTGTTCATTGCCAGGATATAAAAGAGTCATTTGATGATGCTTTAGCTTTGATTATATAATGGACTAAATCAAGTTGGCATATTAAACTTTTCTTGCTTCTTATTTCCCATGAAGTTTTGAGCCGTAAATGCAGCAATGAGCAATGTATCGAAGTCTTAACGGAAACATCATCTCTGTTTTTACAGCGATAAGGCTGTGTACATCGTGATGATCCAGACTAACAAAGTTGGGATTTTACTGGGTTGGTTGCTATTGTTGGTTGGGATTGGGGATAAGTAAGATGTTACGTATAACGTATACTGAAAATGCTTCGGAAACTGAAAGTTTAAAACAACAACAACCCAGTTGAATCCCACGAAAGTAGGGTCTGGAGAGGGTGTGTGTAGGCAGACCTTGCCCCTGCCCGGAAGTAGAGAGGCTAAACTAAATAAAGTGAAGTTATGATATGAGAGTATTGCAATCAAATGGCAAAAGTACCACACATAAAAGGCTTACAAGGCACACAACAACAACCCCCTAGCTCAAGACACCTACCCAGCTACTCTAATCCCATCTCTCCAAACGCTCCTATCTAAGGTCATATCCTCAGTAAGGGCAAGAAGTCCTAAGTCATGTTTAATCACCTCATTCCAAGTCTTCCTAGGTCTACCCCTCCCCCTACATCCCCTAGGCCCCTACCAAAGTAGGTCTCTCGCATCTCCGCAGTGGAACATCCGCATTCCACCCTCTCACATGGTCAAACCACCTCAACCTAGCTTCCCAAAGCTTATCTTCCATTGGCGCCATGCCTAACCAACCTCGAATTACCTCATTCGGAATCCTATCTGCCTCGTCTGACCACACATCCACCGCAACATCCGCATCTCTGCCACATGTAGATGGCGCACATGAATCTTCTTAACTGCCCAATACTCCGCCCCATAGAGCATTGCTGGTCTAAAAGTTTAAAATATAAAAATTTTGAAGAGTCCCTACTCCTGATGAATTGACATACCTGTGGCATACGTGAGTGGAAGGCAGCATAGCCAACATCATGGTTCCCTGCGAGGTAGAACAATTTAATATTTGTAGTTTGCTGAAGCATATCCAGGTTAAATATATGTTTGAATCGGCTCCAGGATTCCAACCATCTGTTGAAAATTGAATTAATAAATTAATAAACTAATTGAATTGATAAATTAACAAAGTACTTGATGAAGCTCAACACTTACAGATTTAGACATTTAGTGGAGATTGACCCAAAGTAAGACTAAAGAGGTTATATCAACACACAAAATGCCAATTCAACTACTAGAGATAACAGTCAAGACTTACTCTTTATCAGTCAGGAAAGGTCCACCATCAAAATAATCACCCAAGAACAAAATAACATCTGGTTTGAATGGAAAAATAGATGATAAGAACGCCCTACGCATGAACAAATCTGTATAGAATTGAGCCATCTCTAGAGCCAAGGACTTTGGAGCAAGGCGGAGGGAAGTTTTGTCCATAAGCTGTGAACATCTTTACATGTGAGCAAAAGTATGAAATCGGACTCCAGAAGGTCAGTAGAGTTGGTACTAATGAAATTTGCTATTGGTTTTGAAAATATTACCTGAGGATCGGCAAGGACAGCAATTTTTACATAATCACCAGGATTATCTACTTTGCTCACCTTAAAATTTCAGAAACAGAGATGTCAGACAGCATAAAAGCACAGGAATGCTAATCTTTATGAAGAAGGCATGCCACCATATATCAGTATTCCCGATTACTAAGAGAATGCAATGCATAAATGAGAGCATAAAGAACAAAGATGCCCTTTCAATCCAAAATCTATTCCGTAACAGTGTAAACCATTCGCACAAGAGATCTATTAATAACTTCTAGAGCTTCAGGTTCCTTCCACAGAAATCAGCCCAGTGCAGTTATGTTAGGAACATCAAAATTATTACTAGAATAATGAGCCCAGAATAGAAAAGGAAATAGACCCATCAAAGGGAGGGAGGGGGGGAGTGGCATTGGTGTCACAGAAATGCTACTACAAAACTTCAGTTTCCAAAAGTTAATCCGCAGGTTTTATCCTCCTACCATAAAACTTCACCATTTCTTCTAGTGACACCAGTCAACAGTGTGACTTAAGTAATCATCCTCGTGGAAGGGTATCTACAAAATGTCTCATAGTTATCCTTCCATGACGTTGATTACAGAATCTCACCCTGATGACACTAGTAATCAAGCAGTGAGCCAGCAATGAGAAATGAATCTTCATGTTTTTATCCTCCTAGCCTCAAACTTCACCCGTTTCCTAGTGAGGCCACTCAACAGTGTTACTCAAGTAATCAATCATCCTCATGGAAGGATAGCTATGAAACATTTCATACCAATCCTTATCATCTGAATCTGAACCAAATGACAATAGCAATCACTATTAAACTGATGGAGCTATTAGTTAACGCAGAAAACCAGCAATGATAAGAGAAGAAAATAAACAAGAGGAAGCCAATTCTAATTCCAATAAGATAAAATCGCATGACCTAATATTAGAAAGGCTAGTGGACAAGCAATGACGATGGGAGCAAACAAATACAAGAAAAAAAAGTTTAAAAACTCTTACAGAGGAAGGTGGGCGAGGCCAAGAACACGACCAGATATAGGGAATCCAGAAAGCGAACATCTCGCCATAGAGAAGGCTCAGTGCCCACGCTAACGTTAGGAAAACTGTCAGCTTCGACATCGTCGTCGGTCCTTTGTGCTTCAGCGAGCTAATTGGTTGATGTTGATGCTCCAAAAACAGAAGTACTACCACTGTAACTAACTTCCCTGCCAGATGCGGCCGTCTTGTGCTTCGCCGCCGGTGACTTCTTCCGTCTGCTGACTTTTATGGCTGGTTGATATACGGAATAGGAAATGATACTCACCCCCACCTCTTTTCAGTTTGACTTATTTATTGCTAAACTTGACTCGTGTTTTTAGGACATGTTTGGGAATAGCTGTAGAGAGTAGCGTTTTCAAATTAATCTACACTGTTAAAATTTTATCCAAAACGCTAACGTTATTCTTAGTCTACAATTCATACGGCCACTGTTTTTCAATGGAAGTTTTACTCCACCTTATTTAAATTTGTACAGATTAATTAATCAATAATTACTCCGTACATTATACATCCTTTAATTAAATAAAATACAGATTAATATTTTGAATTTATTTTATAATAGAAGTCTAATAAATTTATTTTTATATCAATATTCAATATAAATTTTATATAATTAATGATTAAAATTTATTGATTTTGACTATAAAATATTAAAACTAAATAAATACGAAGTACTTTGAAATGGAGATAGCATTACCGACAAATTATTCTAGTATCCTCTAAAGTTATGTTTTTCGAAAAATTATAATTTGTAAATAAACATATCAAAGAAAATAAATAGGTAACTGTAATTATATATTGAATAAATTTACTTCTACACTAAAAATTATAACCGACATATTTATAGTTACATTCTGTATCAATATATGTGCGAGATTGATGGTTTACATTAACATAAAATGTGAGCATAAAATTTGTGATCGACTAACATTTTGTGTCAATGTAGGTTATTAAAATGTAAATGTAAATCTTTGGGATAAATTTTGGAGTACAATCTTTTGGGTACGCCTATCATGATTGTTAAATATTTGTAACATACAGAATAATAGTATAGAAAATGAAAAAAATGAAAAGATGAGCCCCATTCTCGAGTCCTCCTCAGACCCGGCTGGGCGGTTATTGAGAGGAAGTAAATTAAACTTTAATTGGAGATTGGTGACAAATAATTGAGCTTGTACTTGATACTTGCAGAGGCTCTATGCTTAGCATATTTATCTCTCAACGCAATTGCGAGAAATCAAATTCGGATCTTAACTCTTAAGGCTATCTGTAACGTTTACCATCGCTCACTCCAAATCAGCAGCCACTCAATGTCACATCAGCGCTGACAGCACTCACCATCTCACTTATTTCACATCTGTAGTGCTTCACATCCACACTACAATGATTATACTTTTACTTTTTTTAATATTTACAAAAATATTCTTTAATAACGTACGGAGTACATCACAAAGTAACATATTCTTTACTTTATCACTTACTTCACATCTGTAGTAACATATTCTTTATTTTATGAACTAATATAAAATATAAAAAATTTATAATGTTTTCTGGTTTTTATTTTGTTATTAATACGTTTTCCCATTTTAGATTATTATATTTTTAGTTTTTTATATTATAACAATTAAATGCCATGCACTCAAAAAAAATTAATTTAAAAACATATACTTCTTTTGTTGTTAAAAAATTGTCACAGTTTGACTTTTTTATCAATTTGTGGCATCCTTTAACCGTGAGTTATAAAACAATATATATTTAGTTATAATGTAAATTTAATAAAATTTTATTTATTTTAAAATATATTTTTGAAATATCAATTTTTATAATATTTAATTATTTTAAATTATATTTAATTTATAGTCAAAGAATACTATAATTTGACAAAAAAAATTAAATTGTAGGAATCTTTTTTAAGGGTTCATCACATGAAGGAATGAGGGGTGATAACTAGGGCTGTTCACATTTAGGTCCGGACCGAAAAAACCGACCGAACCGGACCGTTAGGTCCAGACCGAACCCGGACCGAATGGATTTCGGGTCGGTCTTCGGTCCAGAAAATTTAGACATTCAGGTTTCGGTCCGGTCCGGTCCAAACCCGAAATGATTTAGGTCCGGACCGGTTGGACCGGTTGGACCTAATGACCCTACTGGACCTAAAAGACCTAAATACTAAAACTCTACTTTTTAAGTTCCGTATTACACTTTAATGCTCTATTTTAATAGATATTTTAATTTATTTAATTAAAAAGGTTTTTTATTAAGTACTTTTTTAAAAAATCTAAAAAAAACATTTCATATTTGTTTTTATGTTTCTACATTGAAATAGTTCATATTGTGTATTCATTTTAAGGTTGCATATTTTTTTTATTCATTTTCTATTTGAATGGTACAAAATAAAAAGTCTAAAATATATTTAATTGATCAAAATAATTAAAAAAATATGTATTTTTTTCGGTCCGGACCGGTTCGGTCCTAAATATTTCGGTCCGGTCCGGTCCAAACCCGAGTAGATTTAGGTCTGGTCTTCGGTCCTTGAATTTACTCATTTCGGTCTTCGGTCCGGTTCGGTCCGGTCTTAGACCGATGAACAGCCCTAGTGATAACAATCATACGAGTAACATTTTTGGAGTAAGTATATGGTACAACCGGTTGTACCTAGAGATAGGTACATCTGGATATTACTCATTTTGAAGTTAAGTGGTACTCATTCTCGCACAAACATAACACTTCGTTTGAAATATTGTAGTACTCATTCTGAAATAACACAATACTCATTCTGAAATAACATAGTACTCATTTTTGCACATTTGTACAATATTAATTTATGAATGACGTAATACTCATTCTAAAATCTAGTAATACTCATTCCTAAATAGCCTAGTACTCATTCTTAAATAATGTACCATTCATGAAAATCTAAAATCTTGTTGAAGACCATATTGGAATTAGCGTGGAAGAGTCTTCTTCATCGCCAATCGATTTCACCCAAACCTGCCGCCTTCATCGCCGATCGGTTTCGCCCTAACCTGCCGCCGCAGATCTTCCTTCTTCATCGCCGCAGGTCTTCCTTCTTCATCGCCGCAGATCCAGTTCACCTTCTTCATTGCCGACTTTCCTTTAGCCCAAATTAAACGCCGGCTGTACGGTTCTTCCCGTACAGCCAGTTGTACGATATAAATTGCTACATTTTTGGGACAAGTATGTGTTGTCACGTAACAGAGCCCAGCTTTTTGTTTCATCATTTACTGCCATTTTTTCCAATAATCGATCTACCCACACACCAATCAATCATGCGGTCGCTTCAACCGGCACATTCCGCTCCATCGGAGTTTTCTTCTCCGCCGCCGCCCTCATCTTCCCCTGCAGCGAATCGTAATCGTCACCGGCGGAAACCCGATCTAACCCTTCCTCTTCCTCAACGTGACCCTAGATTAGCGGTACCTCTTCCTCTCCCTCCCACCTCGGCCCCGTCTCCGGCCTCGGTGTTACCATCCTCGTCTGATCTATCGACTCCTCTCACCTTCTCCGAGCTGGAGCGCATCAACCGCATCGGGAGTGGGAGCGGCGGCACGGTCTACAAGGTCCTCCACCGTCCGACGTGCAAGTTCTATGCTCTGAAGGTGATTCACGGCCACCACGAGGACTCCGTCCGCCTCCAGATGCGTCGCGAGATCGAGATCCTCCGCGACGTCGACCACCCCAACGTGGTTAAATGCCACGGTTTGTCCGATCACAATGGCGAGATTCAAGTCCTCCTCGAGTACGTGGACAGAGGATCGCTGGAAGGGACCCACATGCCTCACGAACCCTCCCTCTCGGATCTCACCCGCCAGATTCTCTCCGGACTCTGCTACCTCCACCGACGGAGGATTGTTCATCGGGACATCAAGCCCTCCAATTTGCTAATCAATTCGCAGCGCAAGGTGAAGATAGCCGACTTTGGGGTCTCGAGAATCCTCGCGCAAACAATGGATCCCTGCAACTCCTCCGTTGGCACCATCGCGTACATGAGCCCAGAGAGGATAAACACAGATCTGAACCAGGGACAGTACAATGGTTACGCAGGGGATATATGGAGTTTGGGAGTGAGCATTTTGGAGTTCTACTTGGGGAGATTCCCCTTCAACGATGGAAGGCAAGGGGATTGGGCTTCCCTCATGTGCGCCATTTGTATGTCGAAACCGCCTGAGGCACCACCCACGGCTTCAAGAGAGTTTAGAAACTTCATCTCCCTCTGCTTGCAGAGAGATCCAGAGAAACGGTTGACGGCTCTGCAGCTTTTGAGCCACCCCTTCATTTTGCAAAACAGCTCGGGAAGCACTAATAATCATGGGATTCCCAATCACATTCCTCAAACACACCACCAATCACTACCTCCCCCACGCCCACATTTCTCCTCTGCTTGATATTCTTTCAGATTTGTGATCTTTTTGTGTAATTGTATCATGGAAGTGAGTAACTAATTGCCCAAAGGCCAAAGCGGTGGACGATCTAAGGGGAACACAAAATAGAGAAACACTTATCATTTGGATTCACAATAACAGGTTTATATCTAACTTGAGGCTTTTGTTTCCTATGAATCTCTTTTTTTTTGTTGCAGAAATTTGCAAATGTGCAAGTCTTAGGCATCAAGCAGCATTCACACAATCTGCATATAAGTATTTGTTTTGTTACCATTTTGATGGGAGATTCACCACTGTATCTGTAATGAATGGTGTTAGGAATGAAAATCTTTGTCATGACTGAACTGTCTCACCATAAACAAGAATGGGTTTGATTCACCATATATGCATATCTTGGTTAAGTTTGAACCTTTTACTTGTTCTAGGAATATAATGGCATTGATTTTCCATATTTGGCTAAGTATGTTAGGTGTGAGCAATCTATTATAATTTCCTTTTGAATAGCAATGAGAAAGTTCTGTAGAGGATTTGATTGGGATTTTTATGTTTCCATCCCAATACTTTTTAAAAAGTGTGTTTTACACTAGAACTCTTTAAAAAGAAAAAGTGCATGTTTTACACTTTTTACCCTGAATTTTTTAAAGTGCATCATTAGTCCTTACATTTTCATAAAGTGTACCATTAGTTTTTATATTTTTCATAAAGTGCATCATTATACTTTTCAAACAGCGTGTGTTTTTTCTCCGAAATTTTTAAAAGTGCATCATTAGTCCTGTTATCTTTTTTCTTTTTATTCAAGTTTGGTCAAATACGCTAAACCAAGAGAAATTTTTAGAGTTTCAATCTTGTACTATTTTTAAAAATATAGGACTAATGGTATATTTTTTAAAAATTCAATGAAAACATACACTTTATCAAAAGTATATGCATTTTTAATAGTTTAGGGTAAAACACCTATTTTATTAAACATATAGGGACTAGTGATGTACTCCCTCTGTCCGGGAAAGAAGTTTACATTTTGATTTTTAGTCATTTTTATTGATGGTTGACTATGGAGCGGATTAGTCCAAAATACCCTTCCCACTTCTAGCTTCACTACACTGCCAATTTATGCAACCCCATTGCCGGCTTGCCGCTAGCCCCCGTCAGCACCCCGTCTCCGGCAGTCTCCCTTCGCTGCCATCCCCCACCACAATCATCAGCCTCCCTTCGCACTTGCCCCCCATCGCCTCCATCCCCTATCACAACCACCATCCTTACCACCCCATCTTTGCCTGTGTCACTGCCAGCCCCCATCACCGCTAGCATCTGAATTGCCGCCATATCCCATCTCTGTGATTGCAGATCTGTTTAGATCTAAGAGAAAGAGGGAGGAGGAGGAGAAAGAAGAAGTCAGATCTACACAAAGAGAAAAGAGAAAAGAAGAAAAGAAAAAAAGAGTTGCGCTGGGAGGAGAAAGAATGAGGATAAGAAGAGAAAGGGGTGGCAGAGAAGAGAAGGGAGAAATAAGGAAAAAGTAAGGAAAAAAGAAGAGAAAGAAAGAAAGATAGAGAAGGGTATTTTTGGAAGAATGTGGATTAAAATTAGAAATGTAAACTTTATTTCCGGACGAAGATCAAAGAGAATGTAAACTTCTTTTCTGGACGGAGTAATTTTTAAAGTTCGGGAAGAAAGTATACATTTATGAAAAGTTTATAGCTAAATGATGCAAAAAAATCGGATTTGATTGAATATTGATTTTGTTTTACAAGATCTTCGTTGTGTGCAAAAATCGGATTTGATTGAATATTGATTTTGTTTTACAAGATCTTCGTTGTGTGCCCATAATTAGGAAACTTTCTTTACTTGTATAAGTGATGGGAAAAGTGGTTGCCAGTGGAAGTAAACTCATCCTTCATTTGGTAAATGCGCAGTGAGATTTTTCTTCTCTTCTGTTTCCATCTAATAATTAAGATAAAATTCAGTGGTTATCTACTTTATTAACTCACTATTTATTGATTCCTTTCTTAATCAATTCGTTCGCACGGATAACTTGGTTTGTCCTTAAGAAGAAATTATGTTGAAGATATGAGGATCGATTTCCGACAAGAGTTTGATTCAATGTGGTGGTTCATCGTGCACACTAAGCACGAGATGTCTGTCTAAGAAACTGATTAAGATTATATGAAGTACTACGGAGTATAAGTCGGATCAAAGTATGGGGGGCGTCATCCATAGTGAGGGTCCTTTGGATTTTACTAGATTATACTTCCTCGATCCCTATTTTGATTACAAAATGAGAATTAAGAAGTAAAACCCTATGATATTTGAAATTATTTTGTTTACAAATTGGTACATTAATAAAAATATGACTCGTACATATTAAAAATTACATCAAAAGTTACAAAACAAGAGGTGACAAAAATAAAATCGTAATCATAATTGGGATTGAGGAAGTACTATAAATTACCCACATATTCATCGTTGCTTTATGAAAATCTTTTAGATTTTCGTATATGGAGTTCAAAATAATGAACATTTGAATGTACAAATCAATACATTCGAATGTTGTGTTTATTCAGCGCATCATGTGGGAAACTACTCGATATATTTGAGTGTTTGAACCCAAAGATTCGAATGTTTCGCAATAAGTTGTAATTGTTCGCACTTAACTACAGAAGTAGTCGTTCAAACCAATCCGCCATTGAACATTCGAATGTTTTAGCACCAACATTCGAATGTTACCCAAAAGTTGGTTATTTCATCAAGCAACACGCCCGTTTGAAAATTTTCCTATAAATACAAGGCGTAGAGTATGTTTTCGAGACAATAGAAATTTCACACTCATTCTAGATTGCTTGCGTCTTATCCGATTGAAATATTTTGATATACCACAAAAAAACTCTAATCTGAGAGCGTTTATGCACGATTCGCTAACTCTATCACATCGTTCTTCATGTTCTTCGTATTCTAATCCTATAACGCTGCGTCGCTGTTTTGCATCGTTGTTATCCATCCCTCCCAATTTTTCAACATGGTTTTGCTTTTATCATTAAGGGAACACCCCAAATATGAACAAAATATAGCTTTTATCTCAAGACTGACGTGACATTCCATATTATCTTTTGTATTATATATTGGTATTATAGACTTTATTTTGGATAAAACATAATGGACTTATTTGGGTTCTTTTACTATATTTTATTTTTATTCTGGTCTTTTTCCGTTCATTATTTCTTTGCAGATGATTTTTCATGTGCATTAAATTTGTTTTATACTTGTATGAATTGTTTTGTCTATATTTTTAAACTTTAATCACAATATGTAGGAAAAAATAGTATTATTAAACTCTCTCATCCCAAAATATTTGTTCAGTTTTGAACTTTTTAAATCAATTAGAGTAGACTTGGGTAGATGTATTACATTATTTAAAAGCAATCGGAGTGCTTTTCGACACGTTACTTTTTATTTAAACGCAATGAGAGAGTATTACATTACTTGAAAATTTTATAAAACTACACATTTCATTTAAATAATTAAAATTTAAATAGCCTTCCAAAGATTATGCGTTTGAAATTTTACACCTGAAATCTAATATTCTTTTCGGTCCAATTTAAATTATATGTTTATTATTTACATCCACCAAAGTATAACCATTTTTTTCTCATCTCTTTATTTCTAGTACTTTTTTTTTACATAATTTTAAAATACACTTCTTATGTCCTATAGTAATAGTCTATTTTTAACCTTTTGCAATCAATCAAGATTGCCCTTTGACATATAATTGAAAAAGAATTACATGGTTTACTAATGAGATAAAAATATATTGAAAATAGTTTACAAGAAGTCTAATAAAATTATTCCTTATCAATATCTAATATAAATCTTATTTAACAAATCATCAAAGTTTACAATTTTGACTCCAAAAAGTTAAAACTAAACAAATACTCTATATAATTTTTATTTTATAATTCAACATTAATTTTTAAATAAATTAATAATAAATTCAGTCAAACATCATAAACTAAAACGGACAACTTATATTGGAATGGAGTTAATGGAACCAAACACCAAAAATTGTATTCAAATTCATTGATGGTTGAATCTCCAGCTATTGCATTTGCCAGTTCCATATTAACCAACAAAATAAGACAAAAGAACACATCAAATCAATAAACAATATAAAAAAACTAAACTGACAAAATGCAGGATTATAGCAACTAGTACTCCAGTACCTGTCTAGCCGTGTGTCAATGCTTTCGTAAACCTCTCTAACTCTTCTGTGCAAAGTTCATCTTCAAATCGAGTGATTATGTTATATTTTCGAGTTTGATGAAAGGAATGTAAGAGACAAAAAAGAGATGACACCACTCCCATGGTTTAGCTTTCAATTCGGAAATTAACATACTCCCTCTGTCCACAAATAAACTTTACATTACGCATAACGATGTTTGACCGAAGTTACTTTCAAATCATTTTATATGAAAAATTGTGTAGAATTGAAAAATAAAAATTACATATTAAAAAACTATATCAAAAGATCTACAAAACTAGAGGTGACATGACTATATTATTTTATCAAATGAATGACGAAAATAGGTCAACAAAGTGAATAAAATTTAACCCTGTGAATAGTGAACATAAAGTTTATTTGTGGACAGATGGAGTATTATAATACTCTCTCCATCCGGGAAAGTTCTCCATTCCATTTTTTAGTCCGGAAAAGATATACCCATTACCCTTTTTAACATTGGAAATACCTCAACCACGCTCACTTTCCTCTTTTATTACACCCCACCCACCTCAATTAACATACTCTACCAACTTTCGTTAAGGGTATAATAGACATTTGCATTGTTTTCAATTCTAATTAATCATTTAAAATGCATGAAAAGTCAATTTAGAAATATCATTCCCGGACAGAGGGAGTATATAAAAACATTCTGCTCAAAGTAAACACACTAGAAGAATTTAGCCTTAAAATTGAATCCATACAAATAGCATTAAAAAATTACAATACAGAGGAGAATATAGTATTTGCCATGAGATAGTTCAATTGGAGCTTAATCGACTGAACTAACAATATTTGGCATTCAATAATCTGAATATACAAAGAACAGGAATTTGAAAATTCAAAATTGAAGTAGAAATTTCAACACATCAACCGCATCTACAAAACAGACAAAAACCTTAGACTTGAACATATTAAAAAACCCCTGATCCATCAATTGTCCAGGAAAAGGCAGATCTCATCAACTTAAGCAATAAAGCATACACATATATTAATTTTTTTTTTTAAAAAAATCTGATAACTGAACCCTTGAACGAAGGAAAGTGAGGATACAAAGAAAACATCATGGACATAACAATGGCTATTATGAGAACTAGAAACTGTAAAGAAAGACATTTGTTGTTGAACCTTGAAGAGAAAAGAAGGGAAGACCCAAGAAACAGAGTGGAGAGAGTCGAGATTGAGTGCTGGTGTGAATCGTGGGACTGTGTAAGTTGAGATATATGGAGAGTGAGTAAAGCTGTACAGTAGATCTCCTTAAACTTAATCAATAGCATGATTTGGGTTTTTGAGCATTCAACTAAAGAAAGTAAAACAAATACTTTTTGGCCCATTTGCAAATGCCTAATTGTCTAAATCGACATAGGGTTTGTATAAAAAAATTTCTAATTATAGACAACACTACTAAAACGGTCTGGTATTTTTCAGTTTTGAACATTAGACTGGTCATGTACCCACTCTTAATGGTACGGTCCTGGTTCAGGATGAAAATATAGTGATTGTATTTAAAATACTCTTTTTCGGTTTGGTACTACATTGGACTGTTTTGGACTTTTGGTAACAATTACATGTCAGTTTTTTGCCCACCCCTAGAAAATCCCAGCAGGACAAAGGGTGTAATATTCATTTTTAGTGTTTTAGTTACTATAAAAAAGCACTGAGCAATTATTGTCAAATTCCACTAGCACAAAGCCAATGTTGACTGTCCACCTAATTTGAAGTTAAAACGTGGCACATAATGTCCCTCCAAAAACATTTTCCAATTAGAGAATGATACGTCAGTGTACTTCTGAACAGAAATTTATTAGTGGACAGCAGTGGAGAAAAACTTTACCCCAAAAACAAACCCAATGAAAACTAGCCTAATTCCTTCAAAGAAAAAACAAGAGAAAATTGATATACCTGATGGAAGAATTTGCTTTGCTGGCTCGGCTGAAGGTCCTATAGTGAACAGAACCTGCAAAACAAACATTAACTAGAGATTCTCTCCAGTCCCTTATATTTGAACCAATGGTGGTATATAGAACCAACCCTATCAATGAACATAATGGCATAGAAATGCAACTCATTTGCTGATGATGACCATGATAAAGGTTTCTAGACAGTTGCTAATCATAATCATGCAGATGATAACTTCCGAGGTAGTCAATCATGGTAGAAATAATATAACTCTATTGGTAAAACATAGTGGTGTGGGTTTCTATTCAAATCGTGCCATGTTATGTTAATAATGCTTCAGTAGAATCGTTTTGAGGGAATTATGGAATAACATGTTACTTGTCCGACCAAACTAGAAAGTGGACAGGAAAAAATGTTATGAAAGACAGCAATAGCTAACAAAGAAGCATCCATGACATCTAACATCATAGAGTATGAAAAGCAAACTGATACGCGTGCCCATGATATGTAATCAAAAAACATGAACTCAATGTAGTTAGCTTTTTCTCAGGATGCCACTGCTTCAAATGCATGCTCTGGATAAATTATAAAATGTTCATGATGCCACGGGGTGCATTCATTCACAAATAAGAAGAGATGCTTATGCTGATGACTTGATGACATGAAACAGCTGACATGATTGATGCATCCTATCATGCAAGGATTTGAATTTGTCATAACATAGAGAACAAAATACATCCCCTTCCAGCACTACTAGTATGTCATGGGTGGAGCTCCATTTGCAGCAGGTGCATTGTTGTTGAAGTCCTTCCTTTTCCCAAATGGATTCTTTGAATATGTAGCTAGATAGTTAAGGAAAACCATGGCCATCCACACGAAAACATACTCCCTCCGTCCCAAAATGATCATCACAGTTGGACTTTTTTATCAAGCTGTATTACACTTTGACCACAAATTGTGAAAAAAATATATTTAGTTATAATGTAAATTTAGTAAAATTGGGTTCACTTTAAAATATAGTTTTGATCAATCAAACTTTTATAACATTTAATTATATAAAACTATATTTAATTTGTGGTCAAAGTATTGCATAGTTTGATAAAAAAAGTCAAATTGTGAGGTTATTTCTGGGATGGAGGGAGTATGTATTAAGAACATTCATGAATGACAGTGCATATTAGAATCTAATTGCAATTAGTTTCTCGATTTCAATCATGTGCGGTAAAATTCATATTTTTAGTGTCATAGATACACAATGTTTTGAAGGCCAATTTGACTCAATTTTGTCAAGCTTTCATTACCACTGCATTCAGGAAATATGCATATCTGAAAACAATATGAGAAAAATGCTTTATCCGAGACTTTGAGTAAATGAACTTAATTTAAATACTTTGAAATGTATTAAGAAAACGTGAAATTGTTTCAGTTAAGGTTGGACTTTGAGAAACAGAATGCCATGTGTACAATTGGAAAACAGATACCATAATGAGCCTAACAAAGTTAACCCTCCATGGGTGCAATAGTTCTTGACAAAAAAAACCAAATGCAAGTAGTGAATTCAATATGGGAAGAACTTTGGGGTTGGGGCAAGGGGGGAGATAGATAGGGCAAGGATATTGAATTCGCATGCCAACAGAGCCAGAACTGGGTATTACAGCACCCTGCAATGTCTGGTGCACATTGGTAGCATTCTGCACATCCTGCAAAATGGTCACATGAGGTAGCAACGTAGATAACAGAAGCCACATGCTAGAATAATAGAACAAAAATATGAAAGCAACTTCATCTGCATAGAAGACATGAACTTACTTCAAACTCGATGAAACATACAGTATGCCTGTCCTGTCTCAATATCTTCATCTGCTTAAAACCAGGTTGCCTGACAAAAACATACTTCTCAATGAAACAGACAACTCAAGGTGTGTGAAACTTGGTAAAACCTAAAATTAGCATCCCTACGCTGTGAAAAGGCCCCTCATTTCTTCCTCAATTATGTTTTCTCCAAGATTGCCAATAAAGAGTGTATTGCAAGGAGGGTTATCTTTCATGTTCTACAAGAAAAAACCCATTCATGATTATTACTCACATCTATATCCAGAAAATGAATTCAATGGTAAACAATTTCCAGACATAAAACATGGACATTATTGTCTTAAACTACCTGAACAGGCACATAGCTGCTTGGCGATGCATGCACAGGAGCAGGAACATGCATTGGCACGGGTGGAACATGATAACCACCATATGGGTCATAGGGTTGAGGCGGTGGGGCCATGTAACTGACCCGATATACAATTGCATTACAAGTCATGTCCATGTTAAAAGCATGAAAAAAAGGCTGCAAGACATCTGTACAACTTAAATTTAATGCACTTGTTAAGATGCAGGATAATCCTTACACTGGTGGACCCCATGCTGGTGGAGGAGGGTGAAAAGGAGAGGGGCTGGAGTACCCCGTATGTGTATAATCACCAACGGTTCGCATCCGTTTGCTCTGGTCATAAGCATTTGCATCGGTAACAATTCCTGCACACAAATCATTGAAAGATGAAATCCAGACTTATCATTAAAAAAAACATGTTTTTGTGAAACAATTAAAACATCTGCAATGTGAATCATCTCTCGAGCATAACAGTGCACATAATAGATAAAACGATTAATTAAATAACATACGGAGTATTTTTTACCAGCACAGATGTATAATTTTATTTCCGGGTAAATTAAAGTTTGTCTTAATTTACAGATGGCCAAGAAGCAAACTCAGTGTGCACAAGTTAAAAAAATGGAAGAATATTAATATAAATCCCTACCTCTTTTGACAAAAAGATTTTTCTTTGCCATCTCAGTGTGCAGTACAGATTTTGACTCCGCATCAAAAACCATATCCTACACTTCAAGTATTTAATAAGGAAAAAAACTAAATAAACAGAATTTGAATAAGAAAAGCCAGTAATTACCTGAAGGGCGTCTTTGGCTGCAATCGCAAACTGATGATTGGAGAAAAGCGCAAAACCCATGGGGTGCTCACCTTTGAAATTAACCTGAGATGCTTCATAACCTGGTAGCCACCTAAGAAGGTTCTGGAGCTCCCTCTCCTTCACGTCCTCCGGCAGCCCAGATATGAATACAGTTCGCACCTAAAATTCAAGAATCAAAAGTTGCGCAAAGGAGAGGCAGAGAGGGAGATAGTAAGAGAATCTTTTATTGTGTTCCTTGTTACCTCTTCGGTAAGGGGATAATTAGGGTCATTGAAAGGCATTGGAGAAGGAAGAGCGTGAGCATGCGGCGGAGGAGGTGGTGGTGCGGCGGCTGGAGGTGGAGCTGGAGCCCATTGCTGTTGGTATGGGTGCATCCCGGTGCCGGCCATCTGCCATAGAATCAATTAATAAGCTGATAATATAACATCAAAATTGTATTGAGAGTATTGTGAGAGGAGCTGATAATCATTCATAAAGTTACATTACAAATATAAAAGACTCCAGTATGTCTTCTACCAGTGTTTGTCTAGTTCTCATATCTTGAAATTGATCTATTATAAGTCATAAACTCATCACTAATAAATGAAATTGACAAATTATACATAGTAAGCATATAACAAATTAATAATGTACGAGCATTGATTAAACAAATAATCCTACTTCCTATATGAGGTATATAATGGAATACAAATTATTCCTTATTGAATTTATTTTTGAATAAAAACAACAATCTAAGAATCAATTGATCGAGACAATAATCTAACGACTAAAATCACACTTCGGTGATTTAATTATATACCTTGATAAATGAGGGGTGCGTCAGTGAGGCGCGGACAGGGGCGTCTGAGTAGGTCAGGGGTGCGTCAGTTAGCGCGGTGGCGGCGGACGCCGGGGTGTCTACTAGTAGGAGAGATTGAGGGTTGTTCTTATTCAGTGCCTGTGTGTTTTTTGGGGAAAGCTCTGCCGTGTTTTGATTGAATGGTCGGATACGGTCGTTCAAATAGGGTTTTTATTTGGAGTACTGAATTTCTAACAGGTGCTTTACATAGTCACTAATTTGACTATGTATATAAATTCATAGTGTATATAAAGACAATAAAAGAAAAATGTATTAAATGTAAAAATTAAAACCATACACACTAATGTTGAGTAATTAATTAGCGAAAAAAAACGATTAAATTAAAGGTTTTGAAAGATTTTCTTATACACTACATTTCTTGTAGTATTTGTTGATGGAAGGTCATCATTACAAACCAAAACCTTCAAACTACGTCGATTGGTCACTCGAAAGACAGCAACGTAAAGTTGGTTATGACTAAAAACTGGTTTTTTGAGTAATAATCCCACATGCTTTAATAATTGGCCTCAACTTTTGTTAATTGTCATGGCGTAAGATCTCATGATCGGAAACTACTTCCTTTGAAACTTAAAAGGTATCTGAGTATCTAAAGAAATAAGTGTAAGTCGAGGAATGACTACTTCGTTGCCTGCATTCTTACCACCGAGCACTTTTCCTTGAATCAAATGAGTACCCAATCTTGTAACTATTAATCTAGTTCCATTGCACAATCACATGGATTGATCAATATTTCTCAACAACATGATCGGTGTTCCCACCTTTAATCTCAGTTCATGATTAAGCGCACTAGATGCGATGTTGTTTAAAAATTCAAGGGAGTGCAAGTCTGATATGACATACACATTTGAATCTGACTTGCAAACGCTATCGGAGCTTAGATAAGTTTTCGCTTCTCCAACTGAATTTATTGATGTCATGTATCTCTAATGTTGGTGCAAGAATTACCTGTTCTTGCAAGTAACTTGGGTCTTTTGCTATGCTATCAAAATCAGGATAAGTGGCTTGAACAATTGCAGCGACATGATCTCTTGGACTTTGCAAGCTCATATCAGAAGGGATATCTACATCACAACATCCATCGTTTTCTTCTCCGGCAAGGCCATCCACAATACTTGTTATCCAGTTAGCAAATTCTAGCATACTTTCATTAGTACTATCATCGGCCATGTGTTGGCGGTGCATATTCATAGTGAGACGTAACACAGTACAAAATTGCTAGATATATGAGAAATTAATTGTTACATTAACGATGTCTTGTCGGGTCCCTTTAGGTATGACAGGCAATATTTGTCCGAAGTCTCCTCCAAAAACTATTATTTTTCCCCAAATGGTAACAAAGCATTTTTGGCTTCACGCAATGACATAATATCTCGCAAAGTCCTATCCAGTGCCTCAAAACAATATTTGTGTGTCATTGGCGCCTTTTCCCAAACGATCAATTTTGTTCGCAATAGTAACTCTGCTTGTGGTGTGCCATGCTTAATGCTGCAAGTGGCGTTTTCATGAGGAGTTAAGGGTATTCCAAAGCGAGAGTGTGGCGTTCTTCCTCCAGGAAGTAAAAGTGATACAATTCCAATCGATGCAACGTTCAACACAATTTCTTCTTTCGAACGCAGGCAATAGATAAAGTTTTCCAAAAAAATGTTTTCCTCTGTCCCACCATAGCCATAAACAAAGAAAATACCGCCTTTTCCCTTTTCCATAGATGTCATTATAACCTCATATGTCACTTGTTGCTCATCGTTTAAAGATCCCATCATTTATATGTGCTCATTTGCCAATGATGTCCTGTCGTATTGAAGCTCATCAAGTATCAGCCTTTTACGGGATATCAAAGTTGCATCCATGTTTGGAAAAGGCATTTCCTCATAGTCACGAAGACTCTTACCACGCGCTCTAAGCAGCATCTCTATCTCAATCAAAGCATAATTTTGAACTTCATCTTCACTCAACATTAAACCTAACTATAAACAAGGATACATTAAAATTGAATAAAATAAGCATATGTATATATTAACCAATAATACATATCTTTTAACAATAAAGAAATAGTTACCTTGATGACCAAGAAGGATTCGTTGTTGGTGAAGAATGTCATCATCCATGCATTCCCAACATTTCTCCCAAACATGCTTCGGCCTTGACATTGTCACATTAGCGAGTAGTGTTACAAATAAAATTCGTAACTGGAGTGCTGAAGACCATTGACTTGCTTCACTAAACCCATCAATGTACTCTTTATCATCGTCTAACAATCCAAGAGCATAACACGCATCCTGATAAATATTGTGAACAACGTCATTCATAGTCTTTAAATCAGCATAACTTGTTGGTCCACGAATAATATTTAGCAACATTCTCAAGTAATAGGCCTCTTCTGATCCCGGTAAAACATATATCAGTCGCCCAATTGCAAAACCACCTTTTCGAGGAAAGTACTCTCTTTGTTTTGACTTCCAAACAAACTTCTGTGAAAATTCAGCATATGTCAAGAATTTTGGTTCATGGTAAGTTGCATTTGCGCGCATCCAAGCAAGAAATTTGTTCTCTCGTATGTGTTCACGACGGTAAACCATGCTAGCATCATCCTCGTCTTGAAAGAAAATCCATTGTTCCCCAAGTAAATGAAAACTTAATCGCTCAACAGAAGGGAATTTAAATTGGATTTGATATCCAAATATTCTCCATGTCGCTTCACAAGGTGAAATGTATCTACTACCGTAGTATAGCTGAACTTCATTTGGTTGATTTGCAGTAGAAACGGATCCAACCTTTGTGCTTTCATAAAATCCAGCAGTGACACGATCAAGGCCTTTGTTGATGTACTTGAATAAATACTTGATGGAGCATGATTGATTGCACCACTCAACATTCAGATGAGCTCCATATTTAATCAATATGTCTCGATTATGCGTAACCACAAACCTATTATCCAAAACTACCCCATTCTTCGTGACAGACCTCCCATCATTCCTTCTCCTGTATTTTGGATATCCACGATCATCAACGTTCTTCTCTTCATTGAATTGTTTTGGGAAGTATTTAGAACACTTTCCATACTTCATGCAAGGAGCATATCTAGAGTCATTGCCACATGGTCCATGCAACAAAAATCGGTGACTGCTTTAAAGTATAGTGGTTCCAATGACTCATCTGGCAACTCTATGTAGATAATCTTATCAATGTCTATTGGTGTCAGAAACTTATTCCCTTGTGCGAGAAAGAGTAAAATGTGGGCATGTGGTAGTCCTCTCTTTTGGAATTCCATAGTATAGACAACTGCATGGAAAAGAATAAGCGATGTATAAAATGAGAATGTATTAATTAGAAAAATCTTTATAATGTAAACTTACCTGCTGGGACAACACCAAATGTTTTTTTCGTTTTGAGCTCTTTTATCAGGCATTTAAGTTTGACATTGAAAACTCTAGAAGTTATGTCAGGAATAAAACTCTCACAAAGAGTAGATATGAGTGAACTAGTAAACGCTCAAAACACGACAATTTATTCAAAACTTAGCTCTCAAATAGCTAAAAAATAGAAATGCTTATGCAATGTAAGAGTATTGAAATGTTGAAGAATTGTGTGTAAAATGAGAGGATTTGGGTGCCATTTTATAACCTAAAATGGGATAAACCCGTTGCAAAATTTCTAACAGGATCAAGACAAAATTTTCAGAGTTGTAGAGTGATAATCGATTGTCAAACAAAGATAATCGATTGTCAGAAGATTCTTTGTCCAAAAATTTAAAATTCTATCCGTTGGGGGGCAACGGTCACACTGATAGTCGATTTTCAAGTGCTGTCATTCGACTATCAATCCTCTCTGAAGTTTCTAGGTTTGAAGAAAAACTCAGACAATCGAGTGACAATAAATGTCAGTCGATTATTGGGTGGTTCTGAACTTAATGTTCAGAAACTATAGCAGCCAGCAGTCGATTATTGCCATATGACAATCGATTATCAGCTGGTTAAAATCATCCTGCGAGAAACTTAACCCGAAATGCCGAGGTCCAAAAACGAAGTGTTCCCAAAAGTAAAAACCAAGTTTGAAAAAAATTGTATATGGTGTAAAATAGTGAAACCAAGACTTGTTTGATAAAAACCATGTCTTCGAGGTCGTTTGTCACGTGTGTACGATTTTGATCGTTTTTCACGTGTTAGACCGAGAGACCAAGATACAAAATTGGTTTTTATAAAATAATTATTTGGGAACCTTTTAAATATTTCCAGAGGTAAAAACGAGGTTTAAAATATTGAATACCACCGAGTTGGCTCGGACGCCGAAAAGCAAACGCCAAACCTCGAATGCCGGACGCCGAAGCCGAACACCGAACGCTGACTGAGGTGGTTTTTGGTCTGGGCAAGGACCAGAGATTTTAATACAATAAAAATTTATTAAAAACGCTTATTTTGATGCACAAAAACGTTTTATGATTTTGTAAAATTATTTTGACTCTTTGAGAACCGAGACTTGAATTGATTGTGGGTTAGAACACACTAAGACCGACTGGACTAAGTCTTCAATTCTTGATCTTTGTCCTTAAGTCTTTTGGTCTTATTCCATGCCATTCTTCACGCCTTGAGTTGTTCAAAAAAAACTCTTCATATCAACGGCGGTTTGGCAATTATCAAAACCTGTCAGAAATGAACTCGACTTTAGTTTAACGCAATAAAATGTGTGTTCCAACAATTTCCCCCTTTTTGATAATGGAAAAAAAGACGGGGATATGCATAGGGTTTTGAACGTTTTGAAAAAAATTCCCCCTTAATAAATGCATAGCCCTTATCTTCCCCCTTTTGACATTAACAAAAAGATTTAAAAACCATAATGATTCTATTTTATTAAATTAGGGAAAAGGCAGAGTACATATAATGGAAGCAATTAAAAAATAGGAAGAGAAAAAGAGAAAAGAGCTAGAACTCTAGAAATCCGGGGAAAGATCATCGAGGAGTTGGTCTTCGTCGATGTCTTCCTCATCATCTTCGTCTTCTTCCTCTTCTTAGGTTTCTTCCTCTTCTTCTTCATCTTCAGCGTTCTCTTCTTCTTCACCATCTTCAATTCCAACGTCATTTGTCCCGCTTGGTTCACCCCCGAAGTTTGGCAGAGGAACGTAAGGGACCATATGAGCGTAAGGGTAGTTGACAAAGTCAAAATACCCGTGAAGCTCACGGCTCAAAATGTTGACGTTTTGGGCCGTTTGGGAGACGTTGGTGTCGATCCGATAAAGGGTGGCGGTCAAGGCGGCCATTTGCTCGGCAAGAGATGGGGTGTTGGAAGAGGCCTCCCTTGGTTGGCGTCGTGGACGAGGCGTTCGAAACAGAGTTTCGTCGGTGCCCGAGTGGAAGGAGGATTCATCAATCTCCCAATGCTTCGTCCCTTTTTGCTTCGGTCCAATGTCGGTCTTGATGTGGTATTCATCAAGAATCACCATGACGAAGAGGGCGTAGGGAAGCGTCTGATCGTCGGAGGTTGCGCTAAACATGTGAGTCATCACAAATTGACATCAATTAATGTTGGCGTTGTGAATCATCGCATGAAGCATTTTTGTATCTTCTTGGGAGAGAGCGGTGTGATTGTACTTCCTTGGCTTGAGGATCCGCGTCAAAACATAAAATATGAATCGAAACACGGGATTCATGGAAGTGATCGTCGGGCGCCGCTGTTGCGAAGTGGGGACGAAGTTTCGGATTCCCACTTCCTCTAAGAGGGCGGTTTCGTTGAACCGTGCCCCTCCTTCTCCGACGTAGTGGCCGAGATCCTCTCCATTTTGATGAAGTCCGGTGAGTATTTGAATGTTCTCCTCATTCAAATAGATATCCACCTCGTTGACGTTTGAAATCAACGCTCCGTCCTCATCCTTTTTCATATTCGAGTAGAAAGCTCGAATAAGAAACGGTTGATAGTGAGCCTTCTTGATGTGGAGGAGGTCGAGGAAGTTTCCACGTTCGAGGATAACCCTTGCCTCGTGTGGAATGGAATTGTGAATGAAGCGGGCGGGGGAGAACTGGGGGGGGGGGAGAATTTCCCGGTGCTCAAACTTCTCCGAGAACCGCAACGCCTTTGCGTGGTCGTTGAACCAAAGGAACGACCCGTCGAGGTACTTGTGCACCGGTGGTGGAGAAGGAGTCGAGGAGGAAGCGACGTTCTTGCCGGTGCGGGATCGCTTTCTTTGACCACCTGCCATTGTAACAAGAGAGAGGGAGAGAACAAAGGAAATTGCAGAGATATGGCAAAGACTTGAAGAACAATTTGTAAAATTTGAAGGAAAGGATGAATGATGGTGAATATATGAAGAAATTTTGATTGGAATGAGTAAAGAATGAAGAAATATCACCAATATATAGAGAGGAGGCCTTGGAGATCCGTTGGGGTGATCAAAGTGATGTTTAATGCACTTCAAATGGCTCTGAAACGGTCATATTTTTGAAAATTTTCCGTTTTCAGTCAATCGAGTGTTTGGCTCCTCTGATTCTCTGCTAAAGGATCTACGCGCTTTGTTAGTCGATTTATATGCTCTTGATAATCGACTGACAGAGGTTTTCTCCTGAAGTTTGAGAAAGTCCAGCGGCCCTTATTAATCGATTATCAATACTTGAATAATTGATTATTTGGTTTTGCGGCTGATTTGCTCCAAACTTCCGTGGGCTATGATAGTCGATTATCCCAATGTTGATAATCGATTGTTGGCACTTTCAGCTTCTTTGCTTCAACTCCTGTGGGTTGTGATAATCAATTATCATAATGATACTAATCGATTGTTAACCAATCCTAAAGCCAGAATTCGATTTCGTATAACTTGATAATCGATTGTAGACATTCCCCCCTAACTTCAACGCATACAATGAAAACATTTTGTACCCGTTTTTTGGTCTTTTGGGTCCTTGAGGATTAGTAACATGACTTTTTAAACTAATAAACACACGCACCCATAGCCATACACGCCAATGCGCACACACACACACGTACGATATTCGCATTTAAGTGTTACCTTGACCAACTTGTGGTATTTCGGTTGGCGGGTTCCAGTCCACTTGAACCGAATGCCTATACCTTGGTTGGATTTGTGTGGGTTCCGGAAGTGGTATGTGAATCTTATTCTTTTCATCATAATAGAAGAAGTAATATGATTTCTGTTGCGTTGATTCCTGTGGTGATCACTGTAACACCCTAATCCGTCCAGGTCTGCAGCCCCATTCGGACTAAAGTATTTAACTTGGTAATCGTTAAATTTAAAACTTTTCAAACACACTTTATTAATCTCAGTAATATTTTTCATAACATATACAGTACGGAGTATTTAACAATATTGCGGAAGCGAATTTAATATTGACATATCATAAATCATTTCAAAACTTGTCACATCCATCCCGACAATCTCGCCCCATCTGCCGCCAGGATCACATTAATCTTTCTGTTTACCTGCGTGTAACAAATAAAACATACTACACGCTCAGCGGTGAAGCTGAGTAAGCATATCTAAAACGTCGAACATCCACATAAATTGAATCTCAATTCATAATCAACCATTTGATATCATGCACACAATATATGGTTCAAACATTCAAAATATTTTCAATATTTTATTCCAAGTCATTTGATATTCAATATATATCAATAATGCTCTTAAATTATTCTTAATCTAAGGCCACATCATTTTATATTCAGCTCTTAGCTATTCCTAGTCTAAGGCAGTAATTCTAACCAGGCCCTTAAACTATAAATAGTTTAATGCAGAACACAAGAATCGATAATCCACCCTATGAGTCATGTGGATTACGTACCAACCGAACA